GTGTTTGCTTTGTTAACATTTTTAAATATTATCTTAGATCGAGTCCTTTTTCTGGAATATATGTGCTTGGACCTTGGACATTTTAGAACTACGTTTTGATCAAAGTAAGACAACAATTCGTGTAATCGAACGTGTAATGTGCCTAATTTTCAAAATTAAACAACAAAAATGATAAAATAACCTTTCGCAAGTTACTATGTTGGACAGCCAGTAGGTACCTATAATTGTGCCTTGATGAGATAGATAATATAGGTATATTATAAGTTACATTTGAAATTATACAGTGTTCCGCTCGGTATTCTGTTTATTTTTTTTCTCCAGATAATTATATTTTATGATAGCATGTCATCTAACTTCTCTTTATGTAATTCCCTGGGTAATTCCTCAATGCTTTTAACTTACCTAAATAGAAATATTTATTTAACACTCTTTTTCTATTAGCATGAAGATCCTGAACTTATATAAGCCTGTGGGAAATCAAACTGTAAATAAACAAACGGTTTGTTTATATTTTACTTTATATCTAAGTCAAAACAAATCAATAGTATATAGATACATTACTCGTAGGTTTATATAGACTATATTTTATACATGTCTATGATATTTAGTTATTTGCTGATATTACAACATAATATTAGTTAATTATAGTTATTTTTTATACAACACGATAAAATGGTATTTTATCGTCGACCGGAAAAGATTAATTCAGGAGCGATGAAATCGCCAATGAATTAATTTCGGGTGACGATAATGCAATTTTATCGTCGTGTATAAAACAATTTTTTTTTTCCATAGCGAGTTACGTTTTTAAAAATATTCAAAAATTATTATTTCAAGGAATTTATTACGAGTAGAAAAAATATTGTGCTGGGTTGGCGTTGGTTTCTATGTAATTTGACAAATAAATAAAGCTGTCTCTTTAGTGGTCAGTTTTGAGTCAATATTTTTTAATTCTCTTTCGTGTCGATTGCTGATGATTGTAGCCAGAAATGGCTCAAAACGAAATAAGTAAATTACCAACAGATATTCAGGATGATGCGACAAACGCCATATCTACTACTTCCATTTAAATCCCGAATAACTTATGAAAAGGAATACAAAAATTTTCAAAAGTGAAAGCAATTAAAAAACGTGCGGGAAGAAATAAAGTTTTTAACCTATCCTCGCTGTTGTTAAAGTATCATTTAATCTACCCTTGTGGGTAAAGTACTATTTTATCTACTATTTTTGATAGATATAAGGCAATTTTAACAGTTGTTATGGAAAAAAAAAGTTGCAGTATGACGTTTTTTTTATACTATTTTTAGAATGTGTATTTCACTGTGAATTCCTTAAAAAATGTGTCAAAATGAATGGGGGGGCTGTAATTTCAAAAAAATGTGTCAAAATTAATGCCCCCACCCCATTCATAATGTAATTTCAAGTGTTATAAAAATGTGATGTCATTGTATCAATTGTCAAATACTTTTTTGTAACACCTTACGGGTAGGAAGAAATTTCATAATAAAATATTTTGCAATAAAATGAAAAAAAAACGTATGGATGGGGATGGGCATTATGCTTAGTAGTCGTTATCAGAGATAGTTTTAAAGTTGGTCTTAAATCAAAAAGTTTGCGTTCTTTGAAAGCTAAAGATAGAGCGTACGTACCTGTGTATGACCGACGAAGAATTTATAACCCTAGATTATAGAAATGCGTGTTGTTCTCGGTGTTGTCAAAACCGCTAGTTCGTCCGACGGCGACAGTGATATGGACGTAGGCTACACTACGTCACACACATTAGGGGGAAGTACAATCCTTAATATAATTATAGTTTTCAAAAAATTCTATGATTATCACTCGGATTATCACATCAAATAAGAGATCAAAATACCTAGGTACCTATATCATTTATAACAACCAATCTCAGACAAATACTATAAGTAATGAAAGTATATAGTAATCGCAAAACATTTTCCGATGCACGTCATCAATCATATCGACATTGACACTAAAGTCCATAAACCTGACTAAATGAAATTTTGGCAAAAATGTTTAAATTTGTTGTATAATTTAAGATACCGAGTAGCTCTTCATTTTACTTTATAGAGCAAATGATTGTAACAGATATTTTATTTAGATTAAAGCTGCAAAAATTAGTTTAAACCGAATTTTATTATGTTGGTCATATTGCGCAAGGTTGTCGTTTATTATTTGCCAATTTTCCTAATATCTGTCCTTTTTTTTATAATATCGTGGTGTTGTTGAATCTTTGTGAATAATTCTCGTTTTTTTTTCTTATTTTCATAGGCTTTTTTTAAAAATTGTACTTTTAAGCACAAACAGTTCTTTTAAGAACTAAATTTTGGAGTTTTTGTACTGCATTTCTTGAAATTGTGTGTTGAAAATATGCCGAAGCATTTAAACAGTCGAAGCAAAGAGCTTGTAGCTTAATGATAAACGATTTTGAACGAGAACGTGACAATAAAGGTCTTTTATTACCCTTGACTGCAGTCAGAGAAGTAATTTTGATTGATAAGCACATTACAAAACCTTCAAAGTTATTTCTACATTAGTTTTTATTAAATTCTGTGATTATTAGTTTGCGCATTAATAGCACCCTCTTACCTGTTATTACCACTTATGGCGTTGTAAGATGTACATCAATAAATAAATAAATAACCCATAATAACGCTTAGAATAATATTCATAATGGACTAGTTTTTGCCAATAAGTAAAATAAGCTATAAAACAAATAAATCAATTAATTACTGAAATATAAGTTATTAAATTAAAAATAAAACGTAAAATTCTTTAAAAAATTATATAATAAATATATCGTTTGTCACTCTTAAATTAAAATTTATCTCATAAATCCATCACAATCGGGCAGCGCTGTCGCCATCGCTTGTCACTCAAAGTTGATCACGTGCATCGGAAATTGTTTTGCCAGTACCATATGTATAAACTCGAGTATAAATCTTAAGCTGAGCCTTAAGCCTACACGATGCTTCCAACGTTCGTTGGTTCCAACGTTGGAATCAACCTTGGACGCATCATTTGGCATAGGCTTCGACAATATTGCAATTCACAAGTGTGTCGTCAATTCATAGTTGGTCTACACGATGGGACAAAATGTTCATGTGTCCACGGAAGGTGTTTGCCACATCGTGTGGGACCGGCTTTACTGTAAAAATAAAAATCGACGGTACCCAAAATATACTACCCTCGATGGCCTCGATAGAATAGCAGTGATTGTTATTGTTACTGTCTGCACACAACACATACCTACATATGTATGTATACCATGCTATCAGAAAAAAAACGGCGTCACAATGACCTTTCAAAAGTCAATCGATGATAATTTCTGTCGGCAAAACAACTCCTTGTAATAATATCATCGATTATCATTTCAAAGGCCAATGTTGCTCAATTTTTTGACGTTCATACGATGAGTGCAACATAATGTAATCAAATGAAAAAGTTACTCAATTAATGTATGGCACTAAGTACTTTTATCGCCATAAATGTTTATGTCAATAATTGTTATTTTTAATTTATAGATGATTGGTACTTAGAAGTTTTGATTGGTAAAAAATAACGATATGAAACAAAAATACTTAAAATATAAAATTAGGTAGGTAGATATACAAATAACTACATTATTTAAATAACAGATAATGGACAACAGTAAAATAAACATAATATCTACACAACACACTTAAGTCATAGGTGTCGAGTCATATGTATAAGGTAAACTGAGAGATAAACTAAGAATTAAGAAAGTACCGTATGATCGAAAAAAAAAGGCGTCAGCGATGGCTATGAAATATAAATTTACATATAAAATGACAGCAATCTTCATTTCATAGCCATCGCTGACGCCGTTTTATTTTCAATCATACGGTAGAATAAATAGTCATTGGCCGACCATAAAAACACTGTATTAATGATCCTGTTGGATCGAGTTGAATAATACAGAGGATAATACAGATGATGAACTTATTTAGTACCTAAATAAACATTTAAAATATAATGCCTAGTATAATGCATTTACTTTCAGAACTATGTCTACCTCGAAATCTACTATCAACAAAAATACAGACACTGCAAGAAATCGAAGAAGTTTGTAATAGGTCTGTCTAGTAATAGGTAGAACTTCGCATAAAAACCACTTTACGGCAACTTTTTTTAAAAGCAAATAGCATACAATAAAAAGAAGGCTAAAAAGGCCTAAAGCTATTACAACTACCTACCTACCAAAGCTTTATTACTACTTTGGGAAAAATTCTAAACCCAAATTTACACGGACTCTGAATTTTACTTGCCTTTAAAGCACAAATTCCCTTAAAAGCTTGTTTTAATTTGTTTTATTCCTCTTGCGACAAGAACCTTTTTGTTTTAAGTAAATTTAACATTTTACAGTACTTTTATAAGGCAAGATATAGAGGTATAAATTGGCTCTTGAATAATAGCACAATATTGAAGATATCTACTTAAGTAAGGTACTAATAAAATTATAGAAACAAACGTAAAAAATATAGCCTATAAATTAATATTTAGCGCAGAAAAAATCAAATTATAAACCATTAATAACACCTTTACACTATCTATAAAATTTTAGAATTAAGGTTTCATTATAGGCAGTAGAATTAGTATTTATAATTCTAACGCTCCAGCGAACAGCTGATTGGTTTATCTGTAATAATCTGACCAACGAGAATTGATGGTGCTTACTACTTTTATAAACAAGCAAAGGTATTATATAAAACAAATTATATCTATAAAGTTATTCAATAATTGTTTAAATAATTTAAAACCAGATTAAGCCTAAATAAAAATCATGCAATAAGTTTGTTACCAGTTACTTACCACTAAATTTACTAAAATTAGCATTTAGTAAAAGTTACTTTATTTTAGCATTTACTAACGTTATGTACAACAAAAGTACTACACCTTACTACTTATTGAAGAGGAATAATGAAAAACCTGTGATTTTTCTAAAAGATAAAGATTCTTACCTTGTGTGCAGCTAAATATCCTCTCTAGAAACGCATACTAATCCAAAGATTTCGGCTAATTCACAATTTTCTTTCCACAAATACTTCACTTTTACACTTAATTTGTTTTCACTGTCACTTCAAATCAATAAGAAACATAGCACACTGATACTTCCTAAAATTATTTCAACTTTATAAAATTTAGCTACATAACTTTCTGTGACTAAACAAACATTTAATGTAACTTATGTTGTATTATCGGAACGAAGTAAAAATTTTAACTAAGATTGTAAAACACCAACATTTTTAATTAAAAATTTGAAGTAGAAAAGTATAAAAACAAAATCAACTGACAGTAAACAGTCGTCCGCTTGTAAACTATGCGACAATCGCCCTTAAAAGCAAACATAACCTCCAAACGCACACATTTTGCCGGTTTTCTTCACTAATTCGCGTTGTTTCTCAATAAAACTTCACGCAAACTATTAAAAACTTGCACTTCTCATAGGAACCATGCATTTTTCTGTGGTAATCCATGTCTTTTTGAAAGTAAACACGATATTTTCACGACCGGAACGTTATCCTAAAGCACTCGACGATCTCGCTCGGCAGACTGATGCGTTTTGTTCACAGATGTGCGAGAGAGAAGGAACGAGTAGATAGGCCGGGTATGTATTTATTTTCCCCTTATATATTTCAGGTATATAAACCGTTCTACCGCCGGTTCGTATTCTGCCAGCTTTTGTCGGATAACGAGTCTCGAGTACACTGTTAAAATTCTATATTTATTGCAGCTGATGCATCGATAAGTTTTGATGTTTAGTTATGATCATTTTTTAATGTTGATTTTGTCACTTGAATAAGCAATAATTGTTCCGGCGATGATAACGTAAGTAGTTGTCATTCTGATTAGTACATTTCAGAAGCCATATCAGGCATTTTTAATGATTTGGATTGTTTGTGGATAGTTCATTGCTAGTCGCGTCGTTTTCATTGGTAGGTATGACGACAGAGACGGACTTTTGAGATTTCTTTTTTATAATCATTTATTAGTTATCCAAGCTCATAGTAGGTTTTCAAATTTTTTGTCGCTTTCTTTACGCAGACTGGCGCTAGTGCTAGTGCTAGTAACATAAATCATTAGTAGGGAACAAATTATAATTAGGTAGATAGAAACTAACTTATCTGTGTAGAAACCTAACATTTTTACCTTTTTAGTCATTTTATATGCGTCCAGCAAGAAATATGGCACTAAAAATTGCCTGTCATATTGTAACTTATTATTTTTCAGTCAATTTCTTAAGCCATATACAAGACCTATGTCCCTGCATGTGCGAAACTCTCTAGAGCACTTGGTCAGTTGTTTAAGAGTTTGTGGTGGTTTTGGATGTTGCTTGATTGAATGAACTGTTTGTATGATTGTTGAAAGATTGATGATTGTGATGTCTGATGTTTAAATTTGATGATGAACTGATGAGTTTGATATGAGGTTGAGATGTTTTGATACCTAAAAACTACGTTCCACTATTTTAAACTAAATAACTATTTATTGCCACTAACGATAGGTACACTAAAGATACAGACAGAATATTATTTATTATATACATTAGATGTTGAACAACGGTGTGTTTCGGCGTGGATGGTCAGCCATGTTGTTGTTGTTTTTTTTGGCGGGATGGACCCTTTGAATAAGAAGATTAAGGAGTAATATGCTATCCATGTATTCATGCATGGTGGGCGGAAAAAGGACTCTATAGGGTGGGGATCCTTGACAGTTCTGTTTGACGATTCATTTGACACATTTGAATTTGATTTGAAATTTTGTGAATTTGTGAGTCTTTACTGAGCTTATTTTATGTTATCTATTATTTATTCTACTACTGGTAGTTGTGTAAAGGTAGTAGATCTAGATGGAAATTGTGGCAGAACTTAAATTAACAGTGACACTATTGCGATTTATCGAAAAAGACTGTAAAATAGTTGGTTGTGTAGAGTGCGGTTGATCTCGGTCAAATATCGAGTGAAATAATAGAATAACTTTTCGCTAGTAAGTGACTAGGTATATAATACTGATCATCAATGAAATTCACTTAAATTCTTGCGATAACATTTTCCATTGCTTCTCTGTTCACTTAAATTAATTAATTATATATTTTTTCTAGCATTTTTGCTTTTATTTACTATAGTAAATAACAGCAAAAATACTATAGTAACTATAGGTATTTACTTGTCGAAGATTAGATTCAAAGAATTTAGTAAGGTAAGTCAAATTACAATTTGACTTACCTGCTTCAGTAGCATATCGGATGTTTGTGTTAATAAATAATTATGTATTATAACTTATATATTTTTATTAGAATTATTTTTTTATAACAATTTTAATAACTACCAACATTTTATTCACAACGTAAAAAAACAACAAATTATTGAGTCTACCCCACGTCTACCCTATATCATAGTTTTACACTTTTTAAATAAAATTAGAACGGCACTGATAAACCGGAATTAAGAAGTCGGCCATATTTGAGTCCCATCGCGGTGGATCTAAAGCCGGTCCCAGACACTACGTGCATTTGGCGAATGTGCATTGATTCGAATTATGTACTGCGGCTTTGGCCACCTTCCCACACGCTACGTTATTTGTAAAAATGCGTCCAATGACAAATATTTCCCATAGTAGAGCAACGCGTAGGAGTAGGGGAGCGAGCCCCTAAAACAAAAAAACACGTAAACAAATAGCCGTAGCGTCTGGGAGTAATTCAGAAGTTGACTACGCCGCACTACGAGCTCCTTTGATTCGTGCCAGTTTACCGACAACCGCCGGGAAAATGATGAAGTAGGTACGAATCTTCGTCGAAGGTAACCTCCCACAAGCTACGCAAATAAGCTCGAATATCGAATATTCGCCAAATGCACGTAGTGTCTGGGACCGGCTTAAGATTTTTGATATGCTCCTTCCTTAATCTTTTTATTCAAAGGATGGACCGCTTTCTTCGTAGCCACAGATCGGTTGCTTGTATGTCAACTTCAGTTTTGTTTTGGCATGGTGTGTCACCAATGACTAAAGAATACAAGGACAAATAGCACCCGAGACCAAACTGTGACCATTCTTCCAAACAGTGCCGTGGCACATATTTTTCTTAACATAGCCGCTCTTGAAGCGATATTTATATTTTTGATAAATGTTTTCACTACGTTTATGGTGTATCCGTTGGTATCATACTAATTAATTACAAAAAGAGGCATTAAAATGTTAACATAAGGTACAAAACTAGTATCGACAACGACGATATCAAGTACATATAAGATCAGAAAAATAATTATCTAATTCAATAAAAAACGCTAAAAAGGTGTAGTGGACTGTTTATTTTCCTATAAAAAAAAATAAAAATAATAATCCTGGCTCTTTCTTATCATTGCGCCTTTGACACTTGAAAACTGAGCAAATTACCATTGTAATAAAGTTTATAGAAAGTTCCCTACACACATCCAACTATCTCTAAAATTGTCGCTGATTCCCAACTAATGACTAGGGTTTCCAACCGTCCCGGTTTGGCCGGGATTAACCAGGAATCAGAAAGTTTGTCCCGACGAAAGTTTTGCCTTGGCCGGGATCTAAAAAATTAAAAAAGTGTGCACTACACACATAATATATTTTAATTTCTAATATTTAATGTTTTGTTTCAATTATTAAAAAGATTAAAAATAATTTTCCCGGATTCGCCGATGCTCAAGTTGGGAACCCTACTAATGACTCATTCGTTATGTCCAAAAATGACGTCTAAGGTCACTAATTCTGCTGCAGCCCGTATATGGCCGTTACATGTCCTTGTATTCTTTAGTCATTGGTCACCACATTGCTCCCCCTCCATTTGGCGGGCAGTTTAAAATGCTGCTGAGTGCACGATTTCTTGATGTCGCTTGTTTCATGATGGGTTATTTTTGATTCAGCTTTGGTTGGGCATATGAATGTCCTTCGATACGTTGTTTTTGCTTGGCAATGGTGAAATGCATCTTTTGCTTGACGATGGTGGATGTTTCTTGATATTTCTGCTATTGGAACATACGTTGGCTTCGATCTGTTGGTCTTGTCTTACAAAAATGTAAGGTGTTTGTAGAAAGATTTTAGAGTGCTTCGTATGCTGTAATGTTTGCTGGTTGATAGCGTTACTGGTTAATACCATTTGTTTGCTTGTTGATTGTTTGTTTAGTTTGTTTGTTTATTGCTTGCTTGATTTGTTTGTTGGTTGGTAACTTTGGCTTACATTGTGCTGGTTGATACCGTTTGTTTGTTCATTGTTTGCTTGGTTAGTTTGTTTGGTTTGGTTTGGATAGAAATATTTCTGCTATTGGAACATACGTTGGCTTCGATCTGTCTATTGGTCTTGTCTTACAAAAACGTAAGGTGTTTGTAGAAATATTTTTAGAGTGCTTCGTATGCTGTAATGTTTGCTGGTTGATAGCGTTTGCCTGATTTGGTTTACTGGTTAATACCATTTGTTTGATTTGTTTGCTTGTTGATTGTTTGCTTAGTTTGTTTGTTTATTGCTTTCTTGATTTGTTTGTTGGTTGGTACCTTTGGCTTACATTGTGCTGGTTGATACTGTTTGTTTGTTGATTGTTTGCTTGGTTAGTTTGTTTGGTTTGGTTTGGATAGAAATATTTCTGCTATTGGAACATACGTTGGCTTCGATCTGTCTATTGGTCTTGTCTTACAAAAACGTAAGGTGTTTGTAGAAATATTTTTAGAGTTCTTCGTATGCTGTAATGTTTGCTGGTTGATAGCGTTTGCCTGATTTGGTTTACTGGTTAATACCATTTGTTTGATTTGTTTGCTTGTTGATTGTTTGCTTAGTTTGTTTGTTTATTGCTTGCTTGATTTGTTTGTTGGTTGGTACCTTTGGCTTACATTGTGCTGGTTGATACCGTTTGTTTGTTGATGGTTTGCTTGGTTAGTTTGTTTGTTCATTGCTTGCTTGATTTGTTTGTTGATTGGTACGGTTAGCTTACATTGTGCTGGTTGATACCGTTTGTTTGTTGATTGTTTGTTTGTGTCTCCATCGTATCCATAGTGTTCAAGAGCGGAGTTGTTCGGCTGCGTGTTCGTACTGGGTTGTACGGTGGGGGGCCACCAATGTGGTGTGGTGGTTTGCTGGTTGTTGTTTGATTGAATGATTCTTTGTATGATTGTTGAAACATTGATGATTGTGATGTCTAGGTAGTCTGATGAGTTTGATATGAGGTTGAGAGGTTTTGATACCCAAAAACCACGTTCCACTATTTCAAACTAAATAACTATTTATTGCCAATAACGATACACTAAAGATACAGACAGGATATTATTTATAATATACAGTACGTCTGTCCGTTCTGTAGCTACGGGGTATCCGTGAGAGGGGAAACGATATTCTCTCGATGTTTTTCATACAAAATTAGACGACGCGTCTCATCAATAAAAATTCGACAAATTTGCAAGTAGCCAATAAAATGAATGGGCGGAGTGATTTACGGTGACGTACTCGTCAAGTCGACGTATAAAATATATTGCTGCTTATTTAAATGTTTTTTGTCCGCATTCCTTTCACATAC